TACAGCTTGATTTTCCACCTTGCATGAGCACAGGGAGGCACGTTCAGAAGACAGCCAGGATTCCAGAGCAGCCTCACCAGATCACACTGCTGACCTGAGTGGTTTGTATAATCCAGGAACTCCCTGCTTCCAAAGCAAGGAGCTGTGTTGATGAAGGTCTGTGCACTCTACATGGCCTATTTGGTAGTTTTGCAGCTCTCCCCAGCCCCTGTCCAGAGCTGGCAGCAGTGACTGGTACACCTCTGGAAGCAGCATCTGGTTATGTCATGTGACAGCAATGAAAGGGACCCCTGGGCTGTGATAAGCTCCCACTGAACCACACAACAACCTTCCTGGGAAGGTCTTCTTTGTTATTACAGCAGGAGTTGTGTGGAATTCCACAGAGCTCACATGCTGAAATACAAACAACAACGAGGCAGCCTTGAGTAAGCTGTTTAACACCTCCCTGTACCTAAACAACAGCAAGGGATGCACCCTCAGCTTGTGGAAACCAAGCATGTTTTTCAACAGACAATCTTTCTCACCATTGACAGCAGAGGAGCTGGAAGAGTTTCCACCACATATTTGCCTTCCTTTATCTCTGGTCTTGCAGCCTTTTCTTGCTTTCAGTTCCTCCCTTCCTCTTTCCCACAGTTCAGTTTACCCTTTTCCTTGCATCAAAGAAATAGGATCTGAAGCCTGGAATCACAACACTCCCTTCTCCACAACTCATTCCACTTCAGCTTACTCAAGGCTGTGAGAAAGCAAACAATCCAGAAACCCCAGAGGTAAGACCCAGATTTTTTGATGGAGCCCATTAAATCCAGTGAGAATCCCATTTTGAGGATCTGTAAATACCTGCTAGAACTCTGGCAGCATGCAGTGCTGGGACCAATGAATATTAATGCAGAAGAACTGAGCTCAGGCACCAGCAAAGCAGTGAACACTTAGGAGAGCTCCTTCTACACAGGCTGTGTCAGCTTTAAGTGCTACATTATGTTCAGCAGCACCAAGCACAGCAGTCCCTGCTTAATTTTCTCCACCTAACAGTTGCCTTCAGAGTTTAAAGATTTATACACCCTTGTGCACTCAGCATTGAAACAGGAGCTAATTTCCATGCCCCTTAGCAAATGCAGGTCCATGTCTCCAATCCTTTGTTTTCACACAAATTTTGTCACCCTTATTTGTTCCACTCTGACCAGTTTTGGAGTAAAGGATCTTCTTGATTGAGGGCAGCAGAATATGATCCCCAGGCTGTAGTCTGTGGCTAAATTGTGCCACTTTCATGATGAAAGAGTCTGGCAATATATTCCTAGAGCATGGGTTTTTTGATTGAATCAGAAAAGAAAAAGAAAATTAATTACATCAGATAATTCTATGCTTCAAATTCATATTTAACAACAACGTCCAGCATTATCATCAGCTACCCAAATCAATGAAGGTGATTCCAATGGGAGTACTGTGAGACTAAAATGAGCCCTTGAGTACAGTAGGACCTGGGATAATGTGAGAGGTTTACACCCTCCCTCTTTCCTCTTCTAAAGGAAGCTCATCCTGCCTTTTTCTCACCTCCACTCCCCAATTAGCTTTACGCAACTATTTGTGGACAGGCACTCTAAACTAAATCACTGAAAGGAACTGCTTTAAAAATACACCCTTTTTCCTTTAGGAAGAAGCCACTGGAAAGCAAGGAGAAACTGTTCCAACACACCAGGCAGGTAACCTTGAGGCCCGACCCCAAAGGCAGGCAGTCCCCACCTGGCTGGGAGATGGGACACAGATCTTTAAAAAGCCTGCTAAAGGCATGACATGAAATGGCAGCCCCACAGAGCCTGGAAAAACACGCTGTTGCTTGACAAAGTGCACCCAAATCCCTTCCCTGAGCTGTTCTTTAAAAATTAAAGTGACCTAAAGCTGAGCGTATTTTAAAGTGTTGTTTGTTAAACAAACAAACAAAAAACACAGCAAGAGAAGTAAAGGAAATAATTCTTAACCAAGAGTATTGTGTGATGTATTTCTGCGAGAAAGGCCCTTGGCATTGCTGTGGTGAAAGTAGAGGACATTTTGTAAATGCATTTCTAGAAACAGAAAAGCATTCAAATTGGAAAAGCCCGTCTGGCTGACTCTCCCCCTTTGCAGCTTGTGTACTCCTCCAGCAGATAACAGAGGACAGCTCTTGCTAGCAGGCTGCTCTCCACATTCTCTTCATTAACTCTGGGAGAAATAAAAGCTCCCTTCGACATTGTTTGATGGTAATTAGAAGCTGAATCAGGAAATGTGTCAACCTGACGACGTTCCTTGGGTGTTTACAGTTTATTCTGGCACATTACACCTCGTTTTATTTAGGGCTTTCTTAGAAACCTCTGTTATTACAGGGAGTGTAGTTGGAGGAGCTGGTGACATACTTGGAATATAATTGTGGAGAAAGGCGTTTTTATAAATTCCACACAAGTGGAATCAAGTGTTGAAAAAAATCTCAGTGCTCCCTGGCTCTGCTGGGAATCTTTTCAATTCACAAAATTGGATGATTTTTCATCGCAGATACAGATGATTCAACAGAATCAACATTATCAGAGAAGATGCAGACTGTTTTTCTTTATCCCTTTGAGCAGCACTGGTAAATTCACAGTGCTAGCAGTTTGGAATTAATGGTCTCTACCAGTAGAGGCCAAGTAGTATTTCGGTCTTAAAGAAGATCTGAGAAGTTCTCTACATAGGAAGCTTTAAAATACCCTAAACACTCTCTAGCTAGGAGTCCACAGGCAGCATTACACTTCACCCTGTGTCTGAATGTGCTGTTTGGGCTGGATGAATGTTGCTCATTTCAGACAGGCTCTGAACAAAATGATGAACAAAACTCCCTCTTGGGCTACCAGAAAGCAGGCAGTTCTCACTTGGCTAAGAACCCTTATTTCCACACCTGTTTTTTCTACTACACTGTAAGTATTGCAACCAGCTACAGCAAACATTGCCAAAGGCTGATTCACCAGGACAGGGAACACGGAAACACAGCCGCTCATTTCCACCTGTGCTCTCTTTAGGCTGGCCTGAAGTCACTTCCATCGGGGTGACTCAAGCAGTCAGCACACCTGGGAAACTCCCAGAGACATGAACACACTCTGCAAGTCAGGATGATGATTCAGTAACTGACATGCTTCTCCAACTTGGAACTCAACCATCATCTTGTCATGACACCGTCTTTTCACTGCAAACAGCTCTCTCCTTCCTCACACGGTGCCCATCGCATTTCTGAGCAGAAGGAAAGAGCATGACAAGAGCAATCACATGCAAAATCTGCAGAGCTCCTTTTCTAAAGCTGGCTGTTTGCATTTCTTAGAACCTTTGTAACTCTTACACTTTTTGAGGACAAAACATTATATTGCAGGTCTGGTTCCAAGGAAAGAAACAGAAGAACTCTCAACTCTGTTACAAACAGTTCCTCAGAAACCAGGAAGACAAGATCTGATGGTATAATAAACACAGCTGGAGGCAGATCAAAGCAGTGCAGGCATTTTTCAACAAGAAAGATGACAACTTTCCTCAAATGAAATTAGGGTTTCTACTTACTCTTGTGATGCTCGGAACATCTGCGTTCAACATCCCAGTTTTTTCACTCTCTTGGTGGGACAGATGGTAATGAGGTGCCCAATTCCCAATGCCCTTCAGTGAGATTTAGGCACCTGCCTCATAATTTTTCAAGACTGATTTCTCTCTGTTATTCTCAGCTTTGACAAAGTACAAACCAGGAGATTCCATGTGCCACTCTGCTGCCAGGTTTGCCCTCACACAAACTGCTCACCCTTTGCATTTTCCTCTTTTTAGCCACCCCATTTGTGAACTAAAACCCCACCCTTTACTAATATATTTAATACTTTTTAAGATGCTTTGAGCTTGCACTAGAGGTACACTATAAATACACCCACATCTAAATTACCAACGTTCAAAAATAACAGGAAAAATACTCATTGGTGGATTAGCTACATATGATCAATGCCAAATAAAAATCTACTATGGTTTTGCTAAGGTCATTTAGTGCTGTGCAATTCTCATGAGGTAAATATTTTTGAAAGTGGGGAATGCTTTGAGATTAGGCAATACATTACAGTTTTTGATCAAATGCCAGAAGCCATAGGTGAATAGGAAACAGACATCAGTAATTACAGTTCGTACTTCAGCTATTTCAAAACCCCTTGCTTCAATGAGCAAGTATTAACTGGACAGACACTCCTTCACAAATTAGAGGCTGCAAAGACTTATTACACACCATATTTATCTTTGAAACTTGTCCAACAGAATTAAACTAAAAAAAAATAATGATACAGATTATGGTTGCAGGCAAAAAACTATTAAAACTCGAACAACTATATATATGTTTTTATCTGTCAAACTGTCCCTGCAGCCACACTTTGGTTAAGGAGCTCAGGAATGTGGTATTAAGAAATACTAGTAATTGTATTAGTATGCTGTTGTCAAACTTCAAACTGGCTGTATTTTATCATAGGAGCTGATAAAAGAATTTCTTGATTGTGCAGGCCTTCAAATGCAACAGAACGGCAAGAACAGGAGGTGGGAGCAGAAATGCAACTTTTTCCTCAGAAGACTTAAGGCTACTCAGGATATCCAAGAGAGCACCATGACCAGTGTTGGACAAAATATGACATTGTGGTGGAGAAAAAACTGGGGCAAAACTAGTGCAGGCAGTTCTGATCTCCAAGCCTTCTGAAGGGAGGAAGGTGCTCAGGCAAGGCTGCCTTTTAACTGTTGCCCAGCTCAAGATAGCATCAAATGAGCTCCTAATAAATACCTGGCTTCACAACAGATTCATACCCAAATTTATAATTTAAGCACATTCCTCTAGATTTCAGTCAGACTAGAAGCTAATGCAAACTTTTCATTTGCTAAAAGAATTATTATTACATCTCAAATTTAGTTCAGTCTAAGACATTAAAGCTGATTAAAAAGCTTAACGAGTTAATTAAACCAAGCACTTGTTTTAACAACATTGAACAGAAAAGGTTAGGTCTCAGAATGCAGTTTTACTTGTTTGGCCAAAATTTACAACACAGAAACAAACATTACCAAAAAAAAGTGTGAGGAATGCAAAACATTTCAAAACAGATCACCAATTTAGGAGGATGCTTATTAAAGGCACCATCGTGCATTCATTTATTATGTATTTATAGGATCTCTATAAAGCTGGATTAGGCTTTTGAATCTTCCCTGTTAACCAGAGATTCTGGAAATCAACTATAATAAGCAAATACTTTAGGTAGATAAAAATGCTTGAAATGTGACCATTCTAAATTCATGATACAAGTAACCCAATGCAAATATTCTGCATACTTCCTAAACAGTTACATGATTAATGGCCTAACATAAAACTGATTGGTAAAGTGAGAAGTATTAGAGGTGTTAGGGCAATAGCTGGTTTTTGAGGGTTTGGATTTCTTTTATAGCACATTTTCATAACAAAAAACACTGCTCCCTGTAACTAGATCAAGATCTTGATTTGACACATAAATACTGTTACTATTAAGAGTCTTTACTGCAAAAATATATACAGCATACTTAATACATTATATTAGTAATTTAAAATGTTTAATGGAACACTGCTGATGTGTTTGGCACTAAATAATCAGCATCACTCTGCTTTTCAGTATACAACAAGCAGAAAGGTCAACTGTATCTAACACCCATCTGCCAGCTGCTTAAAAAATAACAGAAATTATGGAGAGAGTGCCTGAACTTTTGGACAGGAGCACTTGGAACTGAGAAAAATCTCGATGAAGGTTCACGGTGTAACCTGTGTGTTTGCACACGTAAACATGCAATTTTCCTTTATAATCACTTTACTAGAGATAACACTTGCTTCCTTCCACACACAAGTTCCTAAAGCAATGTAGTTTGTAAGCCTAGAGTGAGATTTATGGTGTTATACTGCAGAAACCTGTTTAGCCCCTGATTTACAATCCTGGCAATTGTGTTCAACTCTGTCATCACAGCTAATTACAGCTAACTGCAGATTACCATGCTGCAAACTCTCATCTGTGTGAAAGAAATACGATGTTCTGCTAAAAAAAGACAGAGAATCAAATATCCCGAGGGCTAATGAACAAAAATGCACCATTCCAGCTCGGGCTGCAAAGCTGAACTCCCCGAATTGCTGCCGTAAAACTTCCAATTGCTGTTTGTTGGCAAGGTGTTTTAGCCTCAAGAACTTCCACAGTAAATCACCATTACGCTAATACCACACCTCTGGCCTGAAACATATTAATCTTGGTTAACAATAACTGACATTTACGTTACTGATTCAATTCGGGCCTTGTGGTGGCTACACATACACGCAAGAGCTTCAGGGAGGAAAGTTATTAGTTCTGAATGTGTACCTGCTTTTCACTGAGAACAATTTCGAAGAAACATTATCACCAGTTCTTGTTATAATCTTATAACATAAACATTCAAATCCTAATTGATCTGTAAAACACATGACTCCTAGGAAGATCTGCATTTGTATCTCGGGTGCACTTGACTGTACAACGTTAACACGGTTCAGATATTTTTCCAAGATACACAATTCTATATTTTATCTGCTCAAAGAAATTGGTACTTTTAAAACATGTGTTCTTGGGAAGGAGAGAAAAATCGGAATTTGAAATGTTCTGAAGAGTGTGGCACCAGGACATGACAAAAAGTACCAGATCCTTCCAGGAGAGGGACACAAATGTTTTGTGTTTCTATTTACTAAGGCTATAAATGCATAAATAATTTTGGTTTAAAACAGGTAGGATTGTTTTGCTTTTCTTTATTTAGAGTTCCCCTCCAGCTTTCAAGCAGGAAAGCAGTACTGCCTGCATTAAGTCTGTGTAACCCCAGCAGGAAAACTTACCCTTCCCCTTACACCCACCCCTCATAACTGCAGTACAGCACAAAACATGTTTGGACCAAGTGTTTTATTCCAAGTTCAGGCAGTTCTCTACCAGACTCCAAATGCATTCTGAAATGCATTAGCTAAGTTTTTCATATTTATGAGAAAAGTGCTACATTTAACATAGGATTGATGTTTAAATAGTACTTTTTACTATTTTATAAGACAGCACCAAAACAAGCCAGTGCAGTCTAACAGCAGGAAGATAAATACAAGGCACTGGATGTGCTGGGTTTTGTTTTTATGTTTAGATTTAACAAGATGCCTACAAAGATTCTTCAAGTAACAACAGGTATGTGACTTCTGAGGAAAGCACGACAGATTACATGTATCCCATGTTGCTTTTTGTTTCCCATCTTTTCTTGGCTTCAAATCTGAAACAGGACACAAAAACCACATTAGCAATCACAAGCTCGTGCGTTGCAGGTATTTAACCATGTTATTCTCAACAACAACAAAAATAAAACCTTATTTTTAATACTGTAATAAAGACATGAAGACAAATACAGCCATATAACCAGTACATTATTTCTGATAAAGCCTCTGCACTGAAGCCTGATACACTGCTACAAAACCCCACCGAAACCCAACAAGGTTAAACTAAACAAATAAGATTAGCACAAGCCTATTTCAACTAAGAAAACATTTAACTGAGATTGTGTTGTATACACTTAGTGCCAATGAAACCACAAATGTTTAATTCCATACTCAAATGACTTACCCCCAAGCAAGCTTCTTTTTCTTTTGAGCTTCTTGGGCAGCCTCTGCCTCTTGCTTGGCTTTCACGAAGTTGCGGCAAGCAGCTGCTTTGGCAATTTTCACACCGAGCTAAGACATGAAAAGGAACAAAGGAAAACTCATTAGATGCAAATGGCTCACATGAAATGTAAGCCTCACAAATTACTTGGTCTGATATTGTTTCTCAACAGTCAATAGATACCAAAATATCTTTCAAATATTAGGCCAATGATGTACTGCTAGATGGGACAGACAGCAATGTCTTGAGAGAAACACAAAGGTGCAGGATCCTGGGGCAAGAAATCCTTTCCACCAAACCCCTGAGTTTCAAAAATAAAAGCAAAGGGCAACAGCTCACTAGATCCTTTTGTTTGCTTGTTTTAAACAGACAGGAATACACAAAGACACAGTCTCCTTTATTAAGATCAGCCCCTGACCTCAGCTGTGATATCACGAGAGGTCTTACCAGTATCAAAACCACCCAAAAATATGATTTTATACAGGAAGAGCTGCTACTACCATGCATTTTCCAGTAGAGCCACTAACTATTTATAATCAGTCTGTCCAAAGATAAAAAAAACATTGTCCTTACTGTCTGTGCCATTTAGTCTTCACATTCCTAGCTTTTAGGTTTTAAGTGTGATGATACGCATGCTTTTCAAGTAAGGTTGTAAAGGCTGAAGGTGAATACCACTTTCCTTCCATGAACCTACTGAAACTGTGAGAATGCAGATCACTATAATGAATGTCAACTTGTTTATTGTAGTTACATTTTGTGGTTGCTGTCACGACCTGACATTATGAATTATAGAGGAATTTGTTCTCCAGAGTTACTACTAGTAACACCAAGACAAGTGAGCAATTCATTGAGCCAAAATTGCTACAAACTGATGTGGCCAAACAGGTTTTCTTTCAATCCACCCCAAAACCTACTGAAATTAGGAAACATGTTTCTGACTGGACTTTCTAAATTCTCCCCAGATGTCAGGGGAGCATCAAAGAACAGAGGCATGGGAGAGCCAGGTGTAAGAACAGCCTTTAACACTTTGGTTCAAGGTCCACGATGAATGGTAATACACTTGAACCATCTGCAGCATCTGCACAGACACTGATTTGCTCTGAGAAATGCTTTATCCAGATAAGGTCAGAGAGGACTCCAGAACACATCTCCAGGTGCAGATGACACGTTTTCTACGACCATCCCACCAAACACTTAATAGGTAGGTGATCATTTTGTTACCAAAGCAAAAAAACCCACCAAGCCAGCGTCACTAGAAGGTATTCTACCTTCTGGTCCTCTCAGGGTTCAAGAGTCAAGCAAGCAGCCCTTCTGCAGCAGCCTTTAAGAAAGGGCAGTAAGCACAGCACAGCAATATTTCATAAACACAGTGTTTGAAAAGGAAAACTGAATGCTGAACAAGTTTCTCATCCACTTTTTGTACATGCTATAAGGTCATATTTATGTACCTATGGAATCATCTCAATGCACAAAATAATTAATGTGACCAGCTATTTCAAAACTTTTATGTTATCTACATAATTTCCCCCCTGAGCATTAACATTTTATATAATCAGTAATTCAATGCCAACATCTGAACTGCCACATCTCAGGTCAATGACTAAAACATAACATTCTTTTATTTGCATTGTCACTTAATATTTAAGGGCAGCTATTAACTTTAATATACTTGCAGTATAAAAATGCCTAAGAAAACTCAACTAAAATATCCAAAAAATGTTTACTTTTAAATTGAAACAGGACTAATTATTAGCTTAAAGAATAGAGCACTCTGATGGCTGAAGTCAATCAGCAGAGCCATTCCTTTATTAACTGTATTTTACCTCCTAACACACTTGAAAATTAACTTTTACCAGGAGATGAATAACAGCACCTCCTTCTATTCCAGTGGCCTATTGAGCACTTACATACATACAAATATACACAAGTGAGGTCTACACAAGTGCTGCAGAAAAATCTTTTTATCTGTACTTCTTGGAAGACAGAATGAGTTCTCCCATTTCTAAAAAAGCACAGAAAAAACAGGATAATAAGATCCTCTGCAGCATATGGGGAAGTAAAAGGAGAAACATTTTGCAGCCTGGTTATCGTTTCTAGGCCACATAGAGTCAAATTTTCAAGACATGAAAACAAACGTTGCATATAAACAGACACAAACATTTTAGTCAGATTAAATGTCTTCTGCTCCCACCCACGCCCAGACATACATCTTCACTCCCTGCCCCCCCAAAGAGAAATCCATAAAAGCTTGGTCAATGGATTTTACATTAAAAAAAAAAAAAAAAAAAAAAGAAACTGCTAACATTTCAGGTCATCAGATAACTCAATAAAATACAATCTTAAAAGAAGTAAGAAAGCATGAATAAAAATATATACAACAATTTCTTGTGTAGTCAAAGTATCAGCATTTTCCATATAGAACATCCAATATTTTGCTGCATTTTAATTAAGGTGTCTAAACATTATCACAAAGAACTGCAAATTGGTCAGAGCACGCAGTAAGGAAAATTAAGCTCTAAAGGCTTTTTATCACCATATTTCAGGAACCAAGGGTGTAAAATGTTCTAATTTGGGATATATTAAAAGCCATAAAAGGTCTTTCAAAAAGATTAATGGTACTTTGCTTGGATTTAAGATAAGGGCTTTAGCTGGTTGGAAAAGCAGGGCCCTGGCTAGACCCTTGAGGCATTCATCTTTACAGCCACTTGGAAGATTTGTAAAAGCGTCTGCATAACCTCAAGCAAACGCACTGCGACATTTTTTTTTTTTTTTAAATTCCTTTCAATTTTACAGGTTTAAAGTGTGTAAATCATACTGGGTAGTAAAGCTGATATAATGGTTCATCCTTGTAACGCTATATATGTGTGTATTTTAAGACAAACATAAAAAAACCCCACAAACTGAAGTTTCTACAGGGCAAAGACCTTTCTATTTTGAAGCTGACCAAAAATCACGTCAAATATCTTACTCTAGATGTTTAATGCAGCATAAATGAAAATTTTCTACCAGTCTGAAATTGTTACCTTGTAACAAATATCTGAAGCTTCGCCTCTTTTTGAACACTTTCAAGGCGTTTATTTAAAAACACCAATTATCATACTTTAACTTTTTATGGAATAACAGGTCTCTATGAAAAATATTTATGCCGTTCTCTTTTGTTCTTTAATTAAATGAAAACAGATGTTTTCTGAAGTAAAGCGGAACCATTACTGGAGTACTTAAAGTGTTAAGGTCTTTAATTTTTATATCAGTTTGGTCTACAATTCCTGATTGTCTTTACTCAAGCTCAACATTAATGTCAAGCAAGTTACCTAGGAGACGAAAGAGATCAAAGAGACAAAAAACCCTCAAATGTCTGATTAATCAAGCCTGCAAACAGCTTATTTCTTTTAGCCTGCATGCAAGTATGAAAATGAGATTCTGGGAGCCGTACATTGTGCAGATTTGTTCATTCTTATCAGAACAAAGCCAGCGGCAGCTTATTTCATGGATCATTGGCACTGTCATCAGTGCTACACAGAACGGGTGACAGCTCCTCATTTTGAGGCTTGAACAAAATTAGCAAAAAGTCGGCACAAATTAGCCTCTCATCTTTTTAGTAATATGACATTATTCATTTACTTTTTATCCAATTTTTAATTTTTTCCTTGTCAGCTATCCCTTTCTAGTGTTTCTCGCACAGCATCATAAAACACTTTTAAAACAAGCAAAGAAATGGCTGAAGTTGAAATGGAATGTAGAGTTCAGGCAGAAGAGTAAACATTTTTATTAAGTTGCAACAGAATCTACTGTAACTTCCAGAAAACTTCCCTGCAAATCAAGACATTAAACATTAAACATCACTAAGCAAAGACTCCTCATTCAGACTGGAAATGCTGAATGATACAAGTACTGACACAACTGATTCAAGAACCGCTCCAGAAATATCTGGGTGTGAAATAAAAAATGTCAAACCCACAGAAGCTCCAACAACACACTGATATTCAAACAGGTCCTGAAATATCCTACGACCATACCAGAGAAGCCAAACAGCCCTTTAATACAGTGTTACAGTTTCTCATCAAATATGAATCTGGTTATTTCAGGCTTGCCTGTAGCAATGATTTTCTCCTTTTATGTTATGGAATGTTATCCATTGCTGACGTATATAAAATATATAAAGCAAACAAGGATACCGAGTGGATTTTGCAGTGAAAATTGTCCCCTTTCAATGATGTGTTCAACTTCCACTGTAAAATACTTTGTAATACCTTTGTTGTATTTTTATGCTGTGTATTACAACATCAAATTATATTTGGATGACACAGTAATGGAGCAAGGACAGAAAAACTGTTCTAATATTAAGCTCTTTGCTAGACTTAAACATTTAAATGCAAGTAACTTCTTCCATTCATGAGAAAACACAGCATTAAAAAATTAACCATAAGCTGTTAGATGCTTTACAGAGCCCCCTTATAACAAAGGCAGTTTTAAAAAAAGAACTGTAGTACTGTTTTCAGCAATTTCTTTATCTCTGTTCTTCTAAGTAAGAAAGCTTATTAACAAGCTTTGAACTTAAAATCACATTTACAATAATGTGCCATCAACAGTTTTATAAGCTAATTAGAAAAAAAGATTAATTAATGACTGGCTGCTAATAAAATGGCAATCATGAAGAAAGAAACCAAGGGTGCTAAGCTTCAACTACCACCAATTAAGAGCTAATTACAAACAAATTATATATGTGTTTTGCTGTGGGCTTTAATTTACTAAAATGGTTTTAATTAAAAGAGAAAACATGCTGATTAATTGAACTGCAGAAAAAATCTACAGTATAAACTGTGCTTTGTCTGTCTCTTTAATTAGACTTGTAACATCTGAAATCTTTTTTTAAGGTTTGTTAAGGAAAAGATATACATAATTAAGGGAGCATAAGAATGTAATTCTAGGTGATAACCCTGCCATGTTCTAAAGGTTAAAAGAAAACCACCTCAATGAAGAGAGGTATTTGGAAGCACCTCTACTAAGAGTAAGAAAGGAAAACCTTCAGAGATAAAAACAGAAGCTCTTTTTTTTTTTCCTTTTTGGGGGC